AGGGAGGGAGGGAGGGAGGGAGGAAGAAAGGAAGGAAAAGAGAGAGAGGGAGAATGCCTTGGTGGTGTACTGCTTAAGGTATTAGGCTGCTGACTGAAAGATTGGCAGTTCAAATCCACCAGCTGCTCCTCAAGAGAAAGACGAGCAGGTGTGTCCTGTAGAGACTGGAAAGCTGGTGAGGGGTTGCTGAGAGCCGACCTGGCAGAGGAGGGTGGATAGGTAGGTGGGGAGGAAGGTATGTACATGGGCAGGTGGTCAGGAGCCCAGCCCCTGGGGCTCTGTTGGATGGCGCCCCGCCCCTCACGCCCACCCTGCTCTCCTCTCCTCCAGTCCCTGCTGCTGTTCAGCCGCTCCCTGGACACCAATGGTGACTGCTCCCGCCTGGTGGCTGACGGCTGGCTGGAGCTCCAGCTGACGGCCACGGAGAGTGCCGTCCAGCTCCTGGCGGCAGCCCTGCGGCTCCGGGCCCTCTGGGAGAGCGCCCTGGACCGGCAGCTGACCCACTGCTCCCGGAAATGCCTGGAGGAGGAGGACGAGGTCCCCACAGTGGACCGCCGGGAGGTGGCCGCCCTGAGCAGGGACCTGCTGCAGTTCACAGCAACCAAGGTATCCACCCTGCAGCCACATGCACCCCACACCGCGGGGATCGAGACTGGGAAGGCCAGCTCCCCGGCAGGGGCAGCACACTGCAGGCTGTCCAGCTACAGGGGCTGAGTGACCAGTTCAGGACCCCGCTGCGGACGAGGGCGGAGCTAGCAGTGTCCTGTCCCAGAGCCTGACTTCTGGGCCCGCACCGCATGGCGTCCTGTGCACTACTCGGTCAGCGGGTGTTGATTTAGTACTGACTGCTTGCAGATGCAGGTTCTGACAATTGAGGGCTCAGCTCTGGGAGAGGGAGGCCTCGAGGTTCCTGGACAACAGATTGGAAACCTGAATCCCTGAAGGGGAGCATTATTCCCAATTCTTCCACGTGTGATTGGGATCAGCGAGAAGGGTGCAATCCAGGATGACTTCCTGGAGGAATTGGAGTACAAAGGTTGATGACACAGGGAGAAGAGGAAAGAGGAGCAAAACTGGCTTAGGGCTGGGGGTTGAAGGTGTGAGGTGGCCAGACTTCAAAGTCAAACACAAGGTTGGGACATGGTCCCACCCATGAGAGCACAGGAGGAGGGGTCCTGGGAAGTCTGCTGGGATCAAAGAGATAATTAGATGCTCTAGTTGTATCAGAAACCGTGATTGATTCCTTAACTGAACAGTCCGGGGAGGACTTCAAGCACAGCGGGATCCAGGTGTTGTGATGGTGAGAACCCAGGACCCACCATAGCCTCTGCCCTTGCAGGTTTCCTACAGCCTCCGGAGACTCACAGGACTGGAAGTTCAGAACCTCTACGTGGGGCCCCAGACCATCACAGCCGCCCCCCATCTCCCTGCCCTCTTTGGCAGCTCTACCCTGTCCCCTCATCCAACCAAGGGGGGCTACGTGGTCACAGACTTCCTCACCTACAACTGCCTCGCGGTGAGTACGAGGCCCCCTCGGCCACTCCTCATGCCCGAAGGTGGGGTCTTGAGGGTGCGGTCTCTGGGGTGGTGGAGGGTCCTAGGCAGGCAGTGGGGAGTAGGTTGCTGGGACCCAGCCTGACCCCCTACCTGCCACAGAGTGACACGGACCTGTACAGCGACTGTCTTCGCACCTTCTGGACCTGCCCCCACTGCGGCCTGCACATGCCCTTCACGCCTCTGGAGCAAATAGCCCACGAGAACACCTGCCCCAAGGCCCCTCAGGGCAGCCCCCCAGGTGAGCATCCAGGGGCAGAGACTTCCGCTTACTGTGAACCTGTGGCAGTCATTCTCTGGACACTGGGGACTGGCCAGAGCCACACGACCTCGTCACAGAGACCCCACACCGGGGCAGCAAGGGCCCGGAGCTCTGTTTGCTCTGTGTCTCTGTCTCTCCAGTCTCTCTGACTCTGTTATGTTAGTTTCTCCATGTCTCTGTATCTGTTTTTCCTGTCCTGCAGTTCCTGTCTTGGCCACATCCACCTTGGTTAGCACCAGCGATATGGTAACCCAGTGTCCCCCAAAGGCTGGCTTCGGGGAGGAGCTGTGTTTGTCTCTTTCGGCCTCTATGTGTCTTTCTCTCCTGTCTCCCTGAGCAGAGTGTCGTCTGGCCTGTGTATGTTAATCAAGGAAGGCTTCCAGGTGGAGGTGAAACCTGAGTATCCCCAAGGCCCAGAGAGACCTGAGCCGGACAGGACAGCACCTCTTCACTGCCTCTTCCTTCCTCTCCCCTAGGAGCTGAGGAAGCGGCCCCCGAACCCCTCCAGAAGACATCAGCCCTGCAGAGACCCTACCACTGCGAGGCCTGCGGGAAGGATTTCCTATTCACACCCACCGAGGTGCTGCGGCACCGGAAACAGCATGCGTGAGCCGGAAGTGGCACCAGGAGCTGGACGAAGCACCCATGAGCTGGAGGTGGGAGCTGCTTCCAGGGGAAGTGAAGAAACAGCACCTCTGAACCCAGAGCTATACGTGGACCAGGAGTGTAGGGAGAGGTGTGTGTGTGCGCGCGCATGTGTGTGGAGAGTGGCCTGCCTGACACCCCAGCCTAGGCCTGGACCTCAACTGATCCATCCATGTCCCCAAGCCCAGTGCCAGGACCGTGACCCTCACCTGTACCCCAGCCTCAACTCCTGGGTCCTTGGTCCGGCCTCAGCCCAGGGGGAGAAATGTGATGTGTTAATACAGCTTATTAATAAAGCTGCATGTTTTAACTCAGACATTTAAGTATGTGAGCCCCAGGGATCCCCTCAGGAGGGCACCCTTTGGGGTCTGCCCCTGTCCTGTCAGCATTAGCTGGTTCTCCCCAAGGTTTCATCCCGCCTGCTGCAGGGACCATCACCTAGGGAGTTAAGGCAGAGTGGAGTGCCAGGTGTCGCACCCCTGCTGGTCACTCCTCAGCCTGCACTTCTGATGAGCTGGGCTGGCCTGTTAGACCATCCGCATGATTAGAGGTGGGGCAGGGGTTTACTGGGGTCCAGTCCAGTTTACAAACTAAACCACAGGAGACACACTCTGCCCCCGGGGGGGGCACTCCTGCTCTAGGTTCCTACTTGGGACAGCAGGGGACCTTTCACCTGAGTCCTCACTTGGACATCAGGGGGCATGCCTGCTCCAGGTCCCCACTATGCCACCAGGAGGTGTTCCTGCCCTAATGTCCCTACTTGGCCACCAGGGGGCTCTCCCACACTACAGCCCCACTAGGCCACCTAGGGGCGCTGCTTCTGGGGGGGGGGCTGAGCTCAGTCCCCACTGGGCCACCAGGGGGCGTTCCTGCTCTGATTTTCCTACTAGGCCACCAGAGGGTGCACCCACCCAAGTCTCCACTAGGCCACGAGGGGGCGCTCTCACACCAAGTCTCCACCAAGAGGTGTTCCCACCCATGTCCACACTAAGCCACTAGGGGGCACTCTCACACCTACTCTCCACTAGGATGTGTTCCCACCCTAGTCCCCACTAGGCCACGAGGGGGCGCTCTCGCACCAAGTCCCCATAGGAGATGCTCCTACTCTCGGTCCCAGAGGCAGCTCCAGTCCTGTCCTCTGGATTTGCAAACCCCAAAGTTCCTACTACCTCCGTCAGGTGTCACCTAGCACGTTCCTTGTCTGGCTGCCCTTGGCCCATCTCCTAGGCTGTCTCTTCCCTGGCTGCTTTGGAAATAATAACAGCACTACCCTGCTTTTCTCTGTACCCATTGCACAGACTCAATCAAAACCCCAAACCTGCTGCCTTCACATCAGTCCTAAATCACGGCACTGCCCTCCACTGCGTTGTGGACTTTAACTCCTAGCAGGAGACTGCCCATCTTTCTCTCTCTGAGCAGCGTGGTTTGCAGCCCACCACGTCACCCACTGTCTCACCAGAGGAAAACCTCCCCATGGGGCTTCTGAAATGGTAAAACTTCCCAGAATCTGACCGCCCTGTCTGTCTCCTGGGGAGCAGCTGGTGAGTTGGAGCTCTCAGACCTTTCAGTTACCTGCCAAGTACTTAACCACTGCACCACCAGGCTTCCTTTCTCTCCTGTATTCACTTCCTTACAGGGAAGAGTGAAGAACCAATGCCTTTGCCTTGTGGTGCTGGTGAAAAATACAGCCTAGAACCTTAGATTGCCAGAAGAAGAAGTGAAGTTAGAAGCAAGGATAAGCTTTCCTCTCCCAAACTTCCAGCATGTTATCAGAAAGGGCTGCATCCTGGAGGGGAACATCTCCCCTAGGGAGAAAGGACAAAAGACAGACCTCTCCCAAATGAGATAGATTGAGTCAGCGGCTGCATCTTAGCCCAGCAGAGATTGTATAGAGGACACAGGATCGGGGAGGGTTTTGTCCTATTGTCTGCGGACACGCTGTGGCTCAAGCTGACTCAGTGGCCTAGACATCTGCACACAGAGATGCCTAACTTCTTGCTGATGACCGACCCCCTGACTTCCCTCCATCCCTGACCACTCCAAATCCCAATGCTCTTATTCTTCCCTGTACTGCTCCCATTTCAGGAAATCCATTTTTTTACCGTAATTCTTTCATTGATTCAGCCAGTCATCTCATCTTTCATTTTCTCTGGATCTTTCGGCCAGCTTTGCTTCCTCTCCCTGGAGTTTGGTTCCCCCCCCAAGTCAGGCATCTCCCCATGCCAGCTCCTTGAAGGGCACTTCCACCAGCTGAAGCGGAACAGAATCCCTGAGGTCGTTCCTGATTCTCCTAACAGTCCCACCAGCTCTTCCTTCTAAATACCTTCAGTGATGCGGGCCCCAGTCCTCTGTCCCCCAACCTGAGCCTCTGCCATCCCGGAGGACAGCCTCCATGGGCTCGCTGCGTCCACCTCTTTATCGCCTGCATTCTGTGTTCTGTATGGGAGCCAAAGGGATCCTTGTTAAAACAAATATCCCGCCAATTCCCTGTTTCTAGTGGCTCCCAGCTCCCAGTGACGCCTGTCCCTGGCTTACCCCCAACCTCCTGTCCTGTGTCCACATGATCTTTGTTGCAGTCTCACCAACCCCTTTTCTGTTCTTTGAACCTAAGCAGTGGGTTCCTGCCCCAGGACCTTTGCACCTGTCACTCCCGCTGCTGGAATGCTTCCTTCCAATATCCACATAACTGACACCCTCTTTTGATTTGTTTTTGCTAAATATCAGCTTCTCAAAGAGGATCCAGATTTTGGGGGGTCAACGACTGGGTGACAAGGTACAAGGACAAAGAGAAGGGCTATTTCGGAGAAAGAATGGGCATGACCGAGGCTTGAATCTCAGAGCGACCATGTCATGTCTCTTTTATCCCTATGCCTTTAGGCAAGGAATTTCCCAATTCTGCACCTCAGTTTCCTCATCTGTGGATGGAACTCATGGTTCCTTCCACTTAGAGGTCAACCCTGCAATTACACATGAAATCGTCATAAACCTGCTGCCACTGAGTCCATTTAGGCTCATAGTGACCCTCCACTGGGTTTCTGAAGCTGTGACTCTTTACTGGAGGAGACTGTCCAGCTTTTTCTGATGGAGCCACTGTTGGATTCGAACCACTGACCTTTAGGTGAGCAGTGCAAATAATACATCATCCGACGAAAGCTCCTAGAGCTGTTACTAGTTTATAAAATTCTGTTTTATTAGCAAAAGAAGAATCTGGAAGTTGCTAGGAACAGAAAAAGAAATACAATAGATGAGAGAAAAGTTATTTCTTTGTAAAAAAACCAATAGTATGGATCAGGAGAAGAGGACAATGACAGAGTATTAGAAATGAGAGTAGAGAAAACTCTACAGACCCATTGTTATTGTTGTTGTTGTTGTTGTTAGGTGCCATTGAGTCAAGCACAAATCACAGCGACCCTAGGAACAAAAGATCTGAACCCTGTTCTATCCTGTACTGTCCTCACACTTCCTGACACACAAGAGCCCATTGTGGCAGTTCCCTTGTCAATCTCCTGGTTGAGGGTCTTCCTCCCCTTCACCGACCCTTTGCCCTTCCCAGCATCACATCCTTCTCCAAGGAATAGCCGCCCCTCCTAGCAACATGTCCAAAGTATGTGAGGTGAAGCCTCGTCATTCTAGCCTCCAAAGAGCACTCCAGCTGCACCCTCTCCAAGACATATCTGTTCATTCTCTTGGCCGTTCATGGGATGTCCAGTACTCTTCTCCAACCCCACAGCTCAGAGGCGTCAATTCTTTTATTGTCATTCTTATTCATCGTCCAAGTCTTGGATGCATAAAGACTGTGACCTGAATCAGATGCACCTTAGTCCTTAAACTGATATCACCACTCCTCAGTACTTTGGAAAGGTCCCTAACTGCAGATTTTCCCCAGTGCCATGTGTCTTCTTATTTTCTCACTGTTGATACCAAGGGTGTTAATTGTGGATCCAAGCAAGATGAAGCTGTTGACAGTTTCAGTCTCCTCTCCATCCATCACGACGCTGCCTGTCGGTCCAGTGGTATGAACCTTCATTTTCCTGACATTGAGATGCAATCCATACCGAAGGCCGCTTTCCTTGTTCTTCTGCAACAAGTGCTTCAAGTCCTCCTCACTTTCATCAAGTAGGAGGTTGTATCATCTGCATTACTCAGGTTATTGATGAGTCTCCCTCCAGTCCTGATGCCACACTCTTCCTCATAGAGTCCAGCTTCTTGGATAAATTGCTAAGCATACATATTAAATAGGTATGAAGAGAAAATACAACCCCGACTCACTCCCTTCCCAGTTCCAAACCATGCAGTGTTCCCTTGCTTCTTTTGCATCACAGCCCCCTGATCCCGGTATAGGTTCCTCCTGAGCACGGTCAAGCGCTCTGAGATTCCCACTCGTCCCAGCATCAGCCACACCTTGTCATGATCCACACAGTCAAATGCCTTTGCATAGTCAATAAAGCACAAATAGGCAAACATTCTTCTGGTATTTCTTACTTTCAGCCAGGATCCATCTGACATCAGCAATGATGATTTGTGCCATGGCCTCTTCTATATCCTGCTAGAACTTCTGGCAGTTCCTTATCTATGTACTGTTGCAGCCATTTTTGAATAATCTTCTGCAGTATTTTGCTTGCATGTAATATCAATGATATTTTTTTATAATTTCCACATTCAGTTGGATCACCTTTCTTGAGAACAGGAATAAATATAGACCTCTTCCAATCCGTTGGCCAGACAGCTGTCCTCCAAATTTCCTGACATAGGCTGGTGAGCGCATGCAAGGCTGCATCTAATCATTAAAACGAGTCAATTGGTATCCCATCAGCTCCTGAGACCTTATTTTTTTGCCAATGCCTTCAATGCAGCTTCTACTTCCTCCTTCATTACCATGGGCTCTTCTTCACATGGTCCTTCCTGAAAATTTTCAGTGTCAATCAATTCTTTCAGGTACAGTGATTCTGTGTATTTCCTCTCTCTTCTTGTGATGCTTTCTGGGTC